AAATATTAATGCATTATGAATGGATTTCCACATCCTACTGATTTCACTATCTGCGTGCAAGAATATGTATATATAACATGGCATTGGAAAAATCGAAAACTGCTAATCAGGAACTTAAAGAAAAGGCAACAGTAAAGATAGAGTCCACGGTATAAAACAGCAACAGTCAGTGCAAGAAGGACAAGAAAGAACCGCTGTAATCTAAATACAATACTCTTCTTTCGTGAATAAAACATGTACACGTACTTGGCGTACTGATAACTATATCAAGTGTTACATTTACCATCTGAGATCTGAAGTAAGAGTCCGTGAAAAAGGCACAAGGCACAATAGATGACATGCACAGCTATCAAATCAGTGCTGGAGTCAGTTTTTAAAAAATTAAAGGTGAGAACTGTGTTATTCCACTACAACTAGAGCATTGCTCTAAAACAAACAAACCAAAATATACCCCCCCACCGAAAAAACCCAACAAATAACTCCCCCAATAAAAAGCACCAGAAAAAACCCCCCAAAACAAGAGAGCAAAAATAAAAAAACCAAGCAGACAGTTAGTGGAAGGAAAATCAAGTCAAGTAGTAGAAAGACAACAAGAATAGAGGGAGAGAACAGAAGAAGGACCTGCCACTGTAGTCTGTCGAGTGAAGCAGCAACATGCGGTGTGAGAGGGAACAATCCTGGCAGAAGAAGTCACCAGAACAAGCATCGCCGTGACGACAACATTTATGTACACAATTGAAAACATGAGCAAAGAGGCGGGTGGCACATCAGTTCAAGCAATGTTGGAAATGTTTGTACACGTGTATACAGTGTATACATATCGTCGTTGCCGCCAAAAATCCACTGTTGTCCAAATTGGGAGAATTTTCCATTTTTACACTCTCTCTAAAGCTCTACCAAAGATGCACCTTTCAACATCACCAAAATACAGTTTGATATTACGGTCAAGGCTTACAATCTTCTTGATTTTTATAATTTTTGACAGGAACAACGCAGCTAAAGCTAGTTTTTTTGTCGCCGACGTAAAAAAGTACCCAAACTGAGTTTAGTGGACTGCTCACGGCACCGACGACAAACTTTGGTAAATACGGAGTAAAATATCCTGGTGGCACAAGCTTGATGGAAAAGGTCATGTAATAACAAGAACACGCAAAAACAATACGAAATAAATTGTCGCAGGGAAAATGTGACGGTAAACTTAAGTTTGCTGATTCAGTGGAATGTAGAATTTTTCTTTTTCTAGTCTCAGTGCACAAGAGTTTCTTCTATAAAGCACAATGTGTACAATTTTATTAACTTAGAATATTCTGCTCACAGCACAAGCAAACTTTTGTTGCACAGGACTTCATATATATATATATATTAAGTGATGAAATTTGTAGAGGCATGCTTCTTCGCTTAAAAGCCAACATACAAGGCATGATGTAGTTAGAAAGCCTCTCAAATGTTCTCGCTTCATTTTTACATAGTTTTGGTCTGAGCACCCGCTTAGTAGGCTACTTGTAGCAGCACATAGACCTGAGCACAACGCATTTTGTGTAAAACCTTTTCACTTCAACTTCAATCTTCTCCCACTGCTCCCAAAAAATGAAAGTGACGGTGGATGACGTTTCCACATTTTTTCCGAACCTTCTGAAGAATGCATACAACGTATTTAGTGTGTGTGTGTGTGTGTGTGTGTGTGTGTGTGTGTGGGCTGAGATAAATGTAAAAAGAGTCTGTGTTGGAAAGAAGACCAGTACCTTTAGTTGTTTTTAAAAATAGTTTTAGTAAGAGTTTTACGGCACTTGCAACCTCAATAAGGTCATATAAGTGCCGAAGAATAGATGTGTTACAAGAGAGTAACATACACAAAAAAGAAGGAGGAGAGATAAGGACGATTGATGTCTGATAGGAAAGAAGGCGCAAACCACACCAGAGCGCCCACCAACCACCCACTAAGACCAGTACCGAAGAGGGAGTAACCAAACAAAGGCATATAAAAAGAACACATAATATTATATATATATAAAAATATATAGATGGTGAGGACTTACACAAAGAGAAGAAATCACCTAAACATTTAAAAAAAGAGAGAGCCCAATCTATACAACTTATGGTTGTCATATATATGACATATGCAAGGGAAATAATTATCAAAACATCTGAGACAACCTGAAGGTTTAAAAATAACAATACACGTTCAGGCCACGAACAGGTTCACAAAGTGCACTCTCTTGGGAAAAAAGCAAGTTTATGAACCCGACTCAGCACCATAATATATGCAAGCAGAGAACACACATACGGTTCATCTTTAAAAGGAGGCTGCTGAATTCATCTTTTAAAAGGAGGCTGCTGAATTCATCTTTAAAAGGAGGCTGCTGAAGCCTATCTAGAGGATTTCAACGCCTCTGTGCAGCTTATTAACAGTTTCTTTTTTGATGCCTTGGTTTCGGTTGATCATAGTAAGTGTAACATTCACTTCAGCAAACAAATATATTGGTAGGAATATCAAGTGAGTACTGTACAGTACACCACTCCTTTCTTGCCTTTGGTCTATTTCACTTATAGTGTTTACACCAATTTCCTACTTGGCTCGGTCCTATCGGAGATGGACGTTAAACTAGGAGGTCCCGCCCCTTAAACAACCTCATAGTGTTGATAGGGGCATCAAACCCATACTATTTCACCATTTTAAAAATTTAAGACGAAGGTTTTGAATTCACAATTTACATCACCCAGTGTCATATATTTCAATGCAGTAGTTTTTTTAACAGTTCGTGAACTATTTGACTTCACAAATTTCTTCAAAAGTAGCAATTTCAACTTGCGCTTGACAAACATCCAGTACACAAAAGTCAAACGCGAAATTGTAGCAACAGACAACAAAACAACAATACAGGGAAAAAAAGGGGGAGTGGGGGGGAGTGAGGGTGTGTCCAGCACCAAAAAAACATCATGGTTGTTGTTGTTGTTGAGCTGAATGGTAATTACTTCTTAGGTTTATTAATACACTGCCCTTTTTTTTTTTTACAAGCCAAAGTTTTCAAACTCTAAAAAAGAAGCTTACGAAACGATGTCATGCAAAATAATACTGATACAGAGTAATAAGAAACAAATATTACTGGAAACCCTCTTCTTCAAAAACAAAACCAAAATTCTCATTGAATCCAACAAATCCAATCCGTAAATTGGAAAAAAAACCCAACAACTTACACTACAGCAAATAACAACAATTGTTTTGAAATGATTACTTAAACCTGCTGAAAAAATTGTCAAAAATTTTGTTTAAAAGGCTAAATTTGAAACATATTAATAATAATGATAAATAGCATTTATTCTGCCCATTTCATTTTGACAAGTTTTTTATATTGCATCCCTCTCAGCGAGACTGCTAATGGTATTTTCATACGGAAGATATATCATTTTCACCCCCCCCAAAAAAAACCCCAACAACCATTACTCCAGCAGGTATAAAAAACTTTAATAAGTAGCCCCCCCCCCCCCCCCCCCCCCCCAGTCAACACTGACTTTTAAACCCTTTATACCTTATTGAGCACTAAACAATTCTGTTGGCTCGCATTAGAAAGAAAAAATGTTTGAAGGATTACAGGAATCTTGTCTCTTTTTTAATTTTAGTAAGAGTTTTACAGAAATTTTCTGTTTGGTGTTTTGTACTTAGCCTTCGAGATGTCAATGATCAATTTTTAGTGTTATTCATTCACACTCAACTTTGCTTTCCACCCCGTCTGGACCAAAGGCAATACTGGATTTTCAAGAATATGCATAGCTCTCAATACCAACCAACATACATAGTCAACAGAAAGAGATCTGGGCTATGGTTAGCCCCTCACAACTGATCATATTCACTACCTTAGAATTACAAAGTTCTATCTGACGTTCCCGGCAGTTTGAGTTACTTATCTATCAAAAGATAGATTCATAAGACGCATGCTACGTATCCCATGGACAGCTAGAAAAACAAACGAAGAAGTCCTGGTTGAAGCAAATTATAGAAAACAAATTATCACGAATATAAGAAAACGACAGGCAAATTTCTTTGGACACACAATGCGGAAAGAAGCATGAGAGAATATTGTCACAACAGGAAAGTTTGATGGAAAGAGAGGCAGAGGCAGACAGAGGGAAAAGATACTAGACAAGATGACAACATGGTTGGGAGCAGCAAGAACAACAGACACCATTGCTGCAGCAAAGGACAGGGTGAAGTGGAGGTCCATGGTCGCCCACGCCAGTCGGCAAGGCACCGAATGATGATGATCTATCAAAATCATCAGATTATTCAGAGTCATAACATCACAACTGAAAGAGCTGCGGAGCTGGCCTACCATAGAAAACTGCATCTCCCCTCGATGCTTAAAAGGAAACAGAGAGGATGAAAAAGTGAAAAAGTAAGTAAGATTCAGAGTCTTTATCAAGATGTTCAAGGAATTTCATTCAAAAGAGCCCGACATGATGTGAAACTCAATAACTTGGGCGTCAAATTTCTCAAAACTAGGTACTGAGCAGATAGAACTTAACTAGGTAATTCTGAGGTAGCATTTTGAAGGCAGAACACACACACCAGGTGGTGATGAACTGTACGTGTCAGGGACTGGGGCCAGGAAGAAAAGGTAGGGGGGCTATGGCAAGAGTACAAACAAAGGGATTTAACAAAGCATAAATTACACAAACATTGGTTTCATATTTAGGTTAAAAAAGGCGTAGTTTTCGTTTACAAAAATACGTCAACTTTGAATAGCTCAAGAGAAGGCATGCTGAGAACAATTCATTCAACACTAGTGATGAGAAAACTGGTGCATCACAGAGACAAAAACAGAAAACATGACAATGCAAGATTCCATAGTTTTCTCAGTGTATATCTGCATTTAAAAAGGCCATAGTAACAGACTGACAAGGACAATAACTCTCCATCTCAACAAAAAACCCAAAACCAACGACAATGGTCGCACTGCCTGAGACTTCTCAACAAGCAAACCATAAACTGGCTAATGAGCTCCTTTTTTTCTCTTCTTTTAAATGTACGTGCTTTCACATTCCACCACAATTTAGAATATCTAGGAGGGGGGCTTCCACCCCTGCCTATCAGAGCCAACGAGGGCTGAGAGGGATGCATCGTCCCAGGAGAAAGGAGGAGATACTTGATAAAAATTTTCTTCCCAACTCGAGAATTGAACTCAAATCTCCTGAATGCAAAAGCAAAGCGCCTATCCGCTACACCTCAGATGACTGTTACGGAGCTCATGCTCGAGAACAATGTCAACGGTTGTCAGTGACACTTCGTGTGGGGAGGGGTCATTGAGGGCCGGTGTCATGAGGCACAAGAATTTGAGAGAATATTTTAGATTTCTAAATTTTTAGCTAGAACTCAGTACACTGTTTAGGTTTGATCGTATTCTTTTGCCTGGGTTGAGCGCTATAGATGTCATAAATTATCATAATTATAATGAATATTTCCTCTTCCCTCATTACAATTATCAGAAGAAAAATTCCTGGTATAGGCAATACAATACAAGACAAAAAACAAACAAACCCGAAACTACCAGCACAGGAATACATTTCTTAAAGTTCATAAAAACGATACGACTCCATTTCGGTCATAAAGGGTTTAAGTTAAAGAAAACAATTTAAAAGTCCAGCAAAAAAGCAAACAAAAGGCTAAGGCGAAACTATACAATGTCAGATTTGACAGAAGCATCCTGTAACAATCACAGCGAAACGAAACACAACCTTTTACCAGCCCTATCGAGTAAAATATATTTTTTTATAAAGAAAAAAAAAACTTCAATATATTTAAGCAGACAAGCTGTAGAACAAATTTTTCAAACATCACTGCAAGAGGTAAGAGGTAGATACAGTTTGAAAAATGTGGAAAATGGTAAACTTAGTTGCCATCAAAATATAATTCCTTTTTGATTTCACAGCTCTCAGTTAAAATACTAATACCAATAACAGATATTTCCAAGTGTGGTAGAAAATTTTGTCCCGCTAACTTCTCGAGGGTTCAGGGGTCAGAGGTGAAAGGGGAAAGGTCCTCAAGGGTTCTGCAGAAACTTCTGGATCATCATCTTGAGTGTCCTGTTTGGTGTGAGCTCTGCCGAGTTGAGCTGGACATTGGTCATCGGGCTGCGTTGGTCACCGCGACCCATCCAGGCCACTATGGCAGGCCGGTCGTACGTGTAGCCATCTGTGGAGACACCAGGAGACGGTATAGATGGTGAGTGTGCTCTAACTGTGTGGCTAGTTTCTTGAAAATTGTTCATCACCCTAAAAAAACAACTCTCATAAACCAACACAGGAAAAAACTCAAGACAGCAGCACACTGAAAGAAAAACTCATATAGGAAAACTCAGAAAATACATAACAAAAAAAAAACCAAACTTGGACAGTAAAACTCAAAACACCAGAACACAGAAAAACTCAGACAGAAAAGCTCAAGACAGCAGCACACAGAAAGAAAATCTTGGATGGAAAAGCTGGGACAGAACAGGAGCAGAAAAACTCAGGCTGGGAGAGAAAAATTGGGACAAAAAAAACTCAGACTGGGACAGAAAAATTGGAGAAAAAAAACCCCTCAGACTGGGGCAGAAAAATTGGGACAAAAAACCTCAGACTGGGACAGAAAAATTGGGACTTAAAAAACCTCAGACTGGGACAGAAAAATTGGGACTTAAAAAACCTCAGACTGGGACAGAAAAATTGGGACTTAAAAAACCTCAGACTGGGACAGAAAAATTGGGACTTAAAAAACCTCAGACTGGGACAGAAAAATTGGTACAAAAAAAAAAAACTCAGACTGGGAGAGAAAAACTGGGCCATCACCACACAAACGACTCACCTGAAGCAATGACCGGGTCCTTCATGATCTCCTGCGTGATGGGACACAAAAACTCCTCGGGCGTGTCCGCGGGCTCTGACCGACCGCCACCGATCGGATGTCGCTGGACGGCCGTCCGAGCGCGGAGGATTTTGTTCCTGTGGCCCAGAGCAGCTGCAAAAGAGCAAAACGTGAGTCTTAGTGAGTGTGGGAACTGACTCTGAATCAGCTGAAGAAAAAAAAAAGGATCAAAATGTGTAACTTATCACTTCATTATTCATTGTTTCAGGAAGCAACATCCCTGCACTCCGGACACGTCCAATGACGCTCCGTTGCTCTCTCCAAAATGTCACCGAGGGTCTTTCCACTGATTGTGCCAGTGCATATCTAACTTATCACTTGTGTAAAGTAAGTAACTTCAGCTCTTTAATTGTGGAGAAAATTAATTTTGGAGTCAAAACATCCTTTTTCAATTTTCTTTAGAATACATTCGTTACTTATTAAGGATTCAGAACAAAGGCAGCCTAAGAGGGTTCCATGATGATACTGGGGAAATTTGGCATCAGGAGTCTATTAGTTAGGCTGTAGGGCTCATAACCCAAAGGCCATGGGTTCAAACCCCATCAGGGGCCTAATGTTACCTTGTGAAAGGCACTTTTCAGGAATTTTTCTGACTTCATCCAAATGGGAATGGCTATCTGGCTATCGACAGCAAAAGATCTTTTCAGCTTGTTATTGTTTAAGTGCTTCATCAGCAGCTTGCATTGAATGCTTCCCTGGAAACAAAAAATGTTTCTGAGTGTTTTAAGGTCTGCCGGGGTTAACATTAGTAACATTACTAATAATATTGGTTGTAAAGTGCATAGAGCTTGCTACTGAGCGGGGATGTGCTATAAAAATAATCGTAAGGGTACAAATTTTACTTATTAAGTAGGATACGGGAAATGGGAATAGAGAGGGGAGAAGGAAGAAAGGAACGATTATCTGGAAAGGACAGACGGCGCCATAATAAGACAGCCACCGGAACAATCAGTAGGGATACCTTGCGGGCTTTGGTGTTGGGGGGAACTGAGCACTTATGGACATGTCCGGTGTGCAATGACGTTGTTGCCCAGGACAGGTAATACAGGTAATACAATGTTACAAGCTATTATATTAAGGAGTCTGAAGACACTGCAGTTTAATTTTCAGTTTTTCATTAGTTTCGTTCAGATGTAATCTTGGGCAAGTCCGTCTTCTAAGACGTCATTGTAAACAAGTGAAGCCTCCGTTCACAAGCAGTGCGTACTGATTCCACAATGACTTGACGATCAATTCTTTCGATTCCCTTCATCGAACGGGTACCGAACTAGTGGCACAATGGAAACCTGCTATAACAGGGACGGTGGGACCAGAGAAAAAGTCCCGTTATATCCGACCCCAGTTAAATCAGAAATGCAAGGGAAGTAAGCATTTGTGGACTAATTCAGCTGTATGTATTCATAGGTAGTTTCCCTTGTCATAAGTACCCACGAACAGGGGTTTTGGACATTGGCAGGCCTGCGCAAGACACATTAAGCGTGCGTGTAGTTAGGCTAAGGACTAGATGACCGAAGTCTGCAGGACACCACAGCCCTCTCTCGCTTCACCCGATGCGTGTGCTTGCAGCAAGTGCGTGGCTTGCGTGGGCTTGCTCAATCACTGCGTTACTCTCTCTCTTACTTTTTACACATTGTTAACGAGCCTTTAACTGATTGGGCTCCGATGATGCCCTGTTATTGCCGATAATTTTTAATACAGGCAAAGAGTAGGAACAAATGAGGTTTTAAAAATCCCTGTTATTACTGGTTCCCTGTTATAACTGGGCCTGTTATATATGGTTTCCACTGTAATTATTTGGTTGGCTAGAAGAATGGGGAAACCCCCCAAAATATCCATCACAAGCGAACTCACCGACGTCCAACGACGTCCTTAGATCCTCTCCCGTCAAGCCCAACAGCTCCCGCCCATCGATGGCGTTGTCCCGGAACTTGTCCTCCAGCTGGGCCAGACCCAGCGACACCAGCCAGTGGCACACGTCCTCCACGCTCCACGTCTCCATGGCAACCTTTGAGAAGCTTCCGCCGGCCAGAGAGTCCACCTCCTCTCCCTGCTCGTAGCCGCTGAGGCCTTCTGCTTGATGAGAAAGACGAAAGCAAGTGGGAAGTGGTCAGACTGATGAGACACGCTGCTTTCTTGTAGGTTTGGCAGTGTTTGAGCGCATGCACTCCACAGCCTGCACGGTATTGTTGCCGTGATAAGATTGGATATGTAACATCGGGTAAATATTTTTTCATGAGCAGGAAAAAAACTGATTTATTAAAAGGATGGCTTAGAGGTATCTGATTCTCATATAGTTCACTTTTGGTTGTTTATTTGAATGTAAATTTATAACCAGCATACGAAACGTGCTTTGCGGAATACTTTTCGTGAAAAAAACAAAATTGAACATTTTGTAATTATCTGATCTTACCACGATGGTGACAATATGCTTCCGTGGAAGTAGAGAATGTTTCTGATCGTTCTAGTGTCTGCTGGGGTAATAACGATTGTAAAGCGCATTGACTTAATATGTACCTTGGGTAACACTTAAAAAATCATTGGTCCAAAAGGAGTACATTATGCTGTTTTATTGTATATAAGTAAAAGTACAACGGAGCAGCCATTGCTCAACCTGCCCTCAAATGTTTCAAATGGACAAAGAGCACTGGGTATTCTTGTCAGTTTGGTTAGTGTTTGAGTACGTGTAATCCGCAACTTGCACTGTATGAGTCCCGGGACGACGAGAATATTTCTAGGTGTTCTACGGTCTTCTGGGGTGATATTAGTAGTAAAGTGCATAGAGCATGCTGTAGAGTGTGGATATTAGCTTTATAAAAACACTTATTATTATTATTACTTGTATTATTATTATCATTATAATTATTATAATTATTATAATTATTACTATTATTACAACATTAATGCGCCAACATAGCAGTCGAATTCACATTTCACGTGTGCCACAACAAAGACCCCCTATAGGATCACACCACAGATGCTGGCGTTGTGTTATGAGAATGCCCGAGTTCTCCCTGATCTGACACTGACTCCACAAGAAACTCACTCATTATGTCAGAGGTGTCGTTCAGTTGCCAGACTTTCACCGTGTTGTCGTTGGAGGCAGTTGCCAGACACTTGCTGTTGCTTGAAAAGGCACAGGATGTGACGTAGCTGTGCCGGAGAAAAAAACACATGTTGAAAGGAGGTCAGTGGGGCTGGTTGTGGGGCTGAGCTGGGGGCTGGGGGGGGGGGGGGAGGAAAAAAACCACATGTTGAAAGGAGGTCAGTGGAGCTGGTTGTGGGGCTGAGCTGGGGGCTGGGGGGGGCGGAGGAAAAAAACCACATCCACACATGATAACATTAACAATCATTTATTGCTAAAAGGAAAGGGTGAGGCGGGCGGGGAGGGGTGGGGGGTGAGGCAGGATTTATTTGCCAAGATGTTAACATCAGGATGAGTAGAGAAAACAACATTGACAAGATAACCAATAATTAGTGCTGGGGAGATAAAAAAAAATTCTTTTTTTTGGGGGGGGGGGGGGGTGAGGGAGGTGGGCACTTGCTTACTTATAGTAGAGAGTTTTACAGTGCTCGCAACTGCATAAGATCATATGAGCGCCAAGGGGTGGGTGTCAACAGAGAAGTCTTTACAGGGAATCAGACTAAGACTGCTCACCTCTCTAGCTTCAACAGTACAAGGTCTGCATCGGCTATCAAGGCACCCCGGAAATAGCAGGTCACAAGAAAGTGACAAACATACAAAAGAAGTAGAGGAAAATGACAATAGTAAGGATCAGAAAAGAAAAAGAAGCAGTTCCCTGTTGTAAATCAGGCACAGTTATGAGCGTAACATGAGTCAGCCCATTTACATTTCTACTATGCTTGAACGAGAAATGTCCCCCCTTTGGGAATGGCCTAAAGACACTACAGTGAGTGGCACACCCTGGGGGTTGGATGGGGGGGGGGGAGGTGAGGGAGGAGGGCATGGCACAGACGTTAAAATAATTTGAGTAAAGACAACCACATTGACATGGTAACTGTCATTTAGAGTTTGGGGAAAGGGGGGGAGGGGGAGAGGATTTATAAGCTTAGCTGTTAGCATTTGTGTAAAATGAACCACATACTCACAACAACGGTCATTTAGTACTGATTAAAAGCAAGACAAACAGAGGCAAAAGATGAATAGAAAGAAGTACGATCTACTAATACAGCCTTCCAACCATCCGCTCTAATATGAGCAGGACACCATAAAATTGATATCGCTGATGATGGTATCAGCATCAATGGCACATAGATTGTATCTATTAGAGGATAATTACAGATAATATCAGTTCTTACCTGGAATGTCCATCGATGCTAATCAGTGTTTGTTTGGTTTCCTGCAGAGGAAGATTCAGGAAAATGTCAAAACTCAAATGTGCAATTAACCTGATCAAAATCACACAAAACCAATAAATTCACTGCAGTAACAGCACCTCTACATTTCAGGTCATGGAAAAGTATTGTATGAATTTAAATTCTTGTTATAATTATAGATATGTTTTACGCCTCCATCTACACAATTTAGATCCAGCAGAGGGTGGACTGCTTTGATCCGTCAAGTCAAACCACGTGTCCATAAACGTACAGTTTTCTAGGTATCTTACATGACAACCATAAACACACAGTTATGTAATAGTTCCCCTCACACTTTAGGCTGTGATCCTCACCACAGAAGTCCTATGTTTTGCAACTATCTTCTGCTTTTGAGTTTTTTCAGTGGTTGGACATTTATTCTCGGACATTTATGCAATAAAACACACTGTCTTTTGCCATTCTATCTGTCTGAGTTGTTTTGGTTCTACTAAGTCAAGTTTCTATGTCCTGTTCCCATCTTCAGTTAGGTATCCGACTTTCTCTTTTACCTTATGATAATCATTTCTGTTGGATTTTTCAACACTTTGTCCCACCGCGGGACGCCGATCAGCGACGGTGTGATATAGCGTGTACCGCATCTGTCCATGGGGATAAGTGTTGCGCGCTCTGTGTGCTGCTTGGGTGGAGAGTGCTTATTACACTAGTTTTTTCCTTTTAAATACCATTATGAGCCTTTATAAAGTGAAAGAAATGAGCCTGGTAACTACTGTTTCAAACTAAGACATACATGCACATTATCTTACCACATTCCAAAGTCGAGCTGTTTTGTCTAAGGAACTGAGGAGAAGAGAAGAGAAAAAGAAAAAAGTTAGTTAATATTTTAGTCTTTGAGTTATAAACACACACACACAGTAAACCAAAATGTGTACAGAGAAATTACTGTGCTGAGAGATTATTCTTTTTACACCCATACAAAAATTGTCAAGGAAAGACTGCATAAGGAATGGAAAAGTCCAAAATTTTAACACGGATAAAACCAGTCATGGAACATATATAGGAATTCAAATAATCCAGTGGTTCGGTCATCTGATGAAAATAACTTCAAATCAACAAGTTGCACTGCAAGACACATAGGGCCCTGAGACAGGAAACGTGGCCAACCCCACTGACGCTACAAGAGAAGCTATACAGGCCGACAGATGAACTGAGCAGGACGGCCCAATTTATGACAGATACCAGACTTCAAGTGTGATGCGATCGAGAAGAAGAAGAAGAACCAGCTGCATGGCATAAGTTAACAGCTCAAAACAGTCAGTATACAAGTATGAGGGCATGGGCAGACTGCGTAAAACTTGTTTGTTTTGTTTTAGTAAGAGTTCTACGGCACTTGCAACACAATAAGTTCATATAAGCGCCAAAGATTAGAGGTGTTACAAGAGAGTAACGAACACAAAAAAGAAGGAGGAGAGATAAGGACGACAGATGTTCGATAGGAAAGAAGGAGCAGACCACACCAGAGCAACCGCCAACCACCCACCGCAAAACTTGGCTGGATGGCACCGGAGAGGTCATCCAAAAGAATAACATATCAACAGCAGAAGCCACTCGTATATCCCTTAACCCAGAATTTAAGGACCAGATACCATTGGGATAAAGCATATTCAATTTTGGTACAGACCATACCCATCTCAACCAATGAAGCAACAAGCTCTTTGATTTCGCAAGCATAATAATATACTCCAGTCTACTATCTCTTCATTTCTCTCAGCAATGCTTCTGAATTTTTGTTTTTAAAATTTAATTTAAGTGGTTTAACACTGCCATCAATACAATTTAGGTAATTTAGGAGGCAACCTTCAACCGTTCCCGTCACAGTCAACCCAGGCTGAGAGGGACACAACGTCCCAGCAGAAAGAACTTGATAAAAATTCTCCGTTTGGGAAATTTAAACTCGAGTCTTCTCCGTGCGATGGCAAAGTGCCTAACAGATAGCCCCCCTCTCCCACACACACATACACCTCCTTCCACATACACATACACACACAAATGCACCCCCCCACCCCAACACACACATACCCCTCCTTCCATATACACATACACACAAATGCACACCCCCCAACACGCACACACCCCTCCTCCCACATACATACACAAAAGCCCCCCCCCCCAATACACACACACACACACACTGACACACACCAAGGTGACCTACCACGAGGTAAGCAGCGTCCCGTCTGGGGAGAAGGCCAGCCACAGAACAGAGTCGGTGTGTCCTGGTAGCATTGTGTCCAGGATCACCGTTACATCTGGGGGGAGGGCGGAGGGGGCAACGATGATGTTTTCTTAGTTTTCTTAGTATTGGTGGAAAGGTTGAAAGGTTACACAGTTTTTTTAGTGTTGGTGGAAATGTTGAATGGTCATAGTTTTTTTTAGTGTTGGTAGAAATGTTGAAATGTCATACAGTTTTCAGGTCTGTATCGGTTAAAGTAGGCAAGAAAAAACAAACAAACAGCAGCGCTGAATGGACACACAGTTTTTTTTAGTTTGTATCATTTGTGAGGCAGCGTGGTGGAATCAGGCTCTCGTCAATTTTTGGGCATGTACAGTTATTGGTATCATCCTAAAGCTTGTTCACTTGTGTTTATTTTGATGAAAAAAATATCCATTTATCTTGAATACAAGTCAAGATATTTGCGGATGAAGGAGTTGGGGTCACCTGTTTTCAGAGGAAAAATTAGTGAGAAAATGGCTGCCAAAGATTCATTATTTCCTTTGCTTAAAAGTCTGTGGTAACTGAAAATTTCCATTTTTTTGTGCCTTTAATCAACGTTTTTCAGAAAAATCCACACCGAAATGAGTTCTTTAATGGGCATGAAAGGTGTTGAGTCAAAAAACAAAAATTTGATAAAAATTCGCAAACCAGCAGAAAAATGAAAGTTTCTTCACTTTGATTATTTTGACGAGAGCCTGATTCCACCACGCTGCCTCACATTTAGAGTTGTCAGAAAAATCAACTCACAATGCTGAATGGTCACACAGTTTTTAGTTTAGTTTTAGTATGAATTTTACGGCATTTGCAACACAAACAGGTCATATAAGTTAAGTGCCAAAGATTAGAGCTGTTACTAGAGAGTAGTATAGAGAAAAGGAAATAAATGCATGGACAAAGTAGGAAATACACCGACAGACAGACAAAGCAGGAAATACACCGACAGACAGACAAAGTAGGAAATACACCGACAGACAGACAAAGCAGGAAATACACCGACAGACAGACAAAGCAGGAAATACACCGACAGACAGACAAAGCAGGAAATACACCGACAGACAGACAAAGTAGGAAATACACCGACAGACAGACAAAGCAGGAAATACACCGACAGACAGACAAAGCAGGAAATACACCGACAGACAGACAAAGTAGGAAATACACCGACAGACAGACAAAGCAGGAAATACACCGACAGACAGACAAAGTAGGAAATACACCGACAGACAGACAAAGCAGGAAATACACCGACAGACAGACAAAGTACAGAGAGAAAGAAAGAGGCAAGAAAACCAAGTGGAAGGGAAATAAATTTTTAAAAAGCCAAAGAGACAAAGAGACAAAGAGACAAAGAGACAAAGAGACAAAGAGACAAAGAGACAAAGAGACAAAACAAAGTAAAAGAGACTAGAAAAAGAAAAAAAAAAAAAAAAAAAGAGGCAAAGATACAAAAACGATGAATCAGCAAAAAAGACAAAGATAAAGCCAAAGAGACAGAGAAAAAGGCAGAGACAAAAATGATGAATCAGCAAAAAAGACAAAGATAAAGCCAAAGTGACAGAGAAAAAAGGCAGAGACAAAAACGATGAATCAGCAAAAAAGACAAAGATAAAGCCAAAGAGAGGCAAACACAAACACAGACACAAATACAAACACAAACACAAACACAAACACAAATACAAGCACTCACTGACAGATCCGACCTCTGCTGTGAACATCCACAACTTGACCAGGTTATCCTTCCCACCAGTGGCCAACAGGAATTGTCGCACGGAGCCGGACGGTGACGGCTGACCTGTGTCCAACATTATCATGATGAAAGATGATGGACAATATTTATACTGATGAGGTCAATACATGAAATCATCTTGTAAAATATTTCTTATACATGTAACCTTAACCCTATCCGTACACCCTGGAGTCATTTTGTACCTCCGGGGTTGTATTCTTCACATTTTAGAATACTTCTAGTACGAAGATCTCTTTAAAACTTTCATTATTTCTCAAAAAATAATTTTGACAGATTGCTATGCAAGGCGTACGGATTGGATTAACAAGCAAATGTCCTCTTTGGAAAGTGGTGGCACTGAGTTCCTCATGTTGTATGGATACGATAGTAAAACACGATGTATGGACAGGGGTAAAAGCCTGTAGGCTTCTATAATAAAAAAATACTTTAGGAACACAATCACTTTCAGAATACTGATTAGATATCTAATGAACTATTTTTGTAGTCTTCTAATGCTAGAACAAGTCCCTGACGCAAATTTAAAACAGAAAAGGAGAAAAGGAGTTGAGTGACACATTTGTGTTCAGGAACTTTCACCATAGATTGAGCAGGACTCGAAGAACAGAAAAAAACAACTCCAAAGTAACTAGCCAATCAAGAAGCCTGTCCCCAGCCCCAACCCAACCATCTAAATGATCTAAATACTTGTTTCAATGGCGTCATAAACCAATTACACCCCCCCCCCCCAACTCTTCTAAATCTACTAAATCATGTCGATGGGGTGGGGGACTTAGACAATACAATCACCCCCCACCACCCCACCCCCCTTCAACATGAGCAAGGGTGTAAAAGAAAACAAAAAAGAACCAGAAACCCCCCTCCCAAAAAACCAAAAAAAATCTCAACAAAGAAAAAAAACCCCCCCCCCCCCCCCCCATTGAAACAACAACCGAAAAACAAAATTTAAAAAGAAAAAAACAAAAAAAACACCATTCAAATAACAATAACAAGTGTCCAACTGACCAGCGGATCCGTAGGTGGGAGAGAACTGGCAGCAGGCCACCCCCAGGTCGTGGCAGTCGGCCACCCGCTTGAGGGCCTTGCCGTGGCCGTAGAGGGCGTCCCACACCAGCAGGTCCCCGCCCAGGTCACCGCCGGAGCTCCCACTGACCACGTAGTGACCGTCCGGGGTGAAGGTCGCAGCCATCACACTCTCGTCGTGACCCTTGAACGATCTGAAGGGGGAGGGGGTGGGAAGTTAAAAAAAGTTTTAGTAAGGTCTTTACGGCGCTCGAAACTGCATACTGTCTAGAGGTGGGCAAAATCTGGATAATCTATAAGGATAACCGGATAATTCTCAATGAAACATTATCCGAATTCAGACTCTTAACTCTCTTTCCTGACCCGTTTGCCGAAGTGGGTGCACCCATTTGTTGACGTAGTGCTAATCCGTTTGTCGAAGTGGTTCTAACCCATTTGCCAAAGCGGTTCATATCGTAATATTTGCCGAAGAGATGCACTAAAATAGTATCCGGATTTTGCTCAGGCGACTCATTGCCCAGCCCTAATACTGTCATATGAGCGCCAAAGGGTGGGTGTCAACTGAGAAGTCAATACAGAAAATCAGGCTTACTTTGCTCACTTCTCTAGCTTCAACAGCACAAAGTCTGCTTCGACTATCAAGGCACCCCGGAAATAGCGGGTCACAAGAGTGTGACAAACATTCAAAAGAAGTAGAAGAAAAATGACGATAGTAAGGATGAAGAAAGACAAAGCAGCAGTTTCCACTATGTTGTTTCGGAGCAGTATGAGCGTAACACTGATAAGTAGCCTATTGAAAATTCTACTGTGCATACGAACATCGACTTATCAATGTTACTGTCAACATGCTGAAGGTAGATAGATAGATAGATATATAGGTAGGTAAATAGGTAAGTAGGTAGGTAGGTGGGTGGGTAGGTAGGTGGGTAGGTAGGTAGGTAGGTAGGTAGGTGGGTGGGTGGGTAGGTAGGTAGGTAGGTGTAGGTAGGTATGTGGGTGGGTAGGTAGGTAGGTAGATAGAGAGGATGGGTGTTTGGTGGGAAAGTAGGAGCAAACCACACTAGCGGGCCTGCCAACAACCCCCAGGAGCACAAAACATGGCTGTGAGAGAAATTGTTGTAAAAAAAGGAGACAAAATATGATTGATGAGCCAGAGAGTGTTTGAGTGAGGGCTTTACGGCATATATATATGAAATATATATATATATATATATATATATAAAATACAAAACATTAGTGGTGTACCTAGAGAATAAAATACAAAGAAATGGAGGAAGAGGAGACAAAAGGACGATAGATGTTTGATCGGAAGTAGGGAGCAAACCGCAGGATAGGAGCACTCGCCAACCACCCACAGGAACGACGGAGAACAAAGCACAGTAATTGTAAACACAGATTTGCCATTTAAAAAACCCCCAAAAACATAACAATCCCTCCCCCCCCTCCCAAATAAAAACTAGATAAACACCATGGGTGGGTCGAGTGAGTACGGGTTTTTGTTTTTTGTTATAGTAGAGGTTTTACGGCGCTCGCAACTGCATAAGGTCATATGAGCGCCAAGGGGTGGATGTCAACAAAGAAGTCCTTATAGGGAATCAGGCTTATTCTGCTCACCTCTCTAGCTTCAACAGCACAAAGTCTGCTTCCACTA